TTTGTGTTACCCTGATCAGACATAGATTCAAATCAAACCTCTCCCATATTCTACTTATAAGGAACTCCTAACTTCGTGAACCTTGGTTTCCTCATCTCTAAAAAGACAGTAATACATGTTAGGCTGCAAATCCTTCTCTGCAGTGTTCCTGTGGATTTAGTCATGTTCTCATGCCCCTGATAAGCTTTCCTTTTACCAGAAATTTCTTGAGAGCTGTCTACACCTGCTGACTTCATCTCCTAACCTCTCACTGGCTCTTTAACTCCTACAATCTGGTTTCAATCCCATCGCTCCACTGAAACTGCTATGGCCAACGTCATTACTGACAGTCTTGTTGCTCAATCCAATTATGCTTTCAACACAAATCCAGCTTAGTCTCTCAGCAGCAGGCCTCAGTGATGACCACTTCCTGCTCTCGAAATACTCTGCCCTAGGCTCCCATCAACTCTGATTTCTGCCTTTCCTCCATTACCATTCAGTCTCCTTTGCTGTATTCTTTCCCAGCCTCTAGACTTAGAGAATCTCATGGCTGCATCCAAGGGCCACTTTTCCTTGTACATAGTCTTTTCTTCCTCAATGACCTCATCCATATCCATGTTTTTAATGATCCTCAACACACAGAAGACTCACAACCCTGTGTCTCCACTCCTGCCCCTGTCCACGGGTGTGAAACTGTGTGACTCCACAGTTGACATTTCTTTCTGGTATGTTGCAAGCTTTTCAAGTTCAGTATGTCAGAAATGAAGCTCACAATTTTCCTCCCTGCCCTGTTCTTTCATCGACTCCAAAGCAGCATCTCTTCTAATTTTCTATAGCTGGTAAATTGCAGGCACCATTCTTTTAGTTATACAGAAACCTAGAACCATCCTCAGCCTCTCCGTCTCCTTAACCATCCCACCCAACCCACTATGAAGTCCTCCTGTTTTCATTTCCCACATCTTGAGCTGAACACTGTCATCTAAGATGAGCTAAAGCCACTTCTCTCCAGACCCTTGTGACACTCTCCTAGTTGGTCTTCTAGGCCTTCCCTTGCCCATCTCCAGCCTGATCTCCATGTTGAACAAGAGTGAGCTTTTAAAAACACAAATCTGACCACACCACCCTCATGCTAAAAACACTTCAATTACTTTCCATTGTACTTAGAAAGAAGACAAAACTCAGCACAGAGCTCCACAGGACTCCTCTTAGTCTGGGGCTGCCTACCTTCCTAGACTTCTCACATCAGCCATCCTGGCCTTGTCAATTTGCTGCCCTCTCCATGCTTCCTCCCTCCACAGGACTTTTGCACAGACTCTCTCCTCTGCCTGAAATGTTCTTTACTATAACTTCCAGCAGACTCTGGCTCTATCTCTACTTTCTCAGAAAGGTGTTTTTTGGTTTTTTTTTTTTTTTTTACTCCCCTACAAGTTAGTACCCCTATTAGGCCCTTATAAGCTTTCTTCTGCCTGTATTTTGATGGAAAATGTAAGAAATTTGAGCCAAAGTTTAGAAGGAATCTCAACTGGGCTCTCTCCCTGACATATTCAGGTACCTTTGGCAGCCTGTGTGGCATAGCTACTCAATTTCTCTCTCCTTCTGTTATGCTTGTGTGTAGATGTGCCCCCACAGTCACATGGGGTCATAGGTGGGGATTTTCAGCTGGCCGGATCTAGGGTGGGGTGTGTAATATTGGGATTAAGGGTGTGTGGTACAAAATTAGTCCGCTGACTGGCTTAGCATAGTTCTGAATATGGATAATGGGAAGTGTGTGAGTGTAGTGTAGCCTAGATGGGATAAAAAGGAAAGGGAGGCTTGCTGCTTGCTGCCTCCTCCCTGCTCTGCCATGGACTGTTTCTCCTCTGCAATGCCCCTCTACCATGCTCCACTGCCTTGGAGCCAGCTGACTATAGACTGAAACCTCTACAGACTGTGAGCTGAAATAAACTTTTCCTCTTTTAACTTGTGGGTGTTTGGTATTTTGTTCCAGCAACAAGAAAAGTAACTAAGATACCTGCCCTCCCTTTACTTACTGATGGGATAAGGGAGTAATGGAGAAAGAGCTCCATGTTCATTGAACTGGTACAGGTGACATTTAACTGCCTGGTGCTGAAAAAAATGGCAAAAAAAAAAAAAATCACATGTATATAATCAGTCACAGCTGGATGTAGTAGCACATACCTGTAATCCCAGCATTTGGGAGGCTAAGACAGGAGGATCGCCATGAGTTCAAGGCCAGCCTGGGCTACACAGTGAGTTCAAGACCAGCCTAAACTAAAATAGTGAGACCCTGTCTCAAAAAACAACAAAACAAAACAGAAACAACAAATATAATCAGTTATTGCTACAGTCATTCACTCTTCAGGCTTGAGCATTACTGTTAGGCTTGTAACCCACTAACACCATATGATCTTTTGTAGATTTTTTTTCTCAGAGCCAGGGCTATAGCTCAGTTATTTACCCAACTTCCTTGATAACTGGAACTAACTCCTTCATTTCCTTCTTTTTTTATTAGCACATGTTTGCAGTACATGCAGTTCACAGTCATCTTGGGGAGTGGGGACATGTACAAGACAGAGCTTGATTCTTTTTTTAAAACCCTTTTCCCTCTCGCCCCCTTCCCTCCTCCTTTAAATCTCCTTTTTTCCATTTTTGTTCTTGTCAGTATTATTAATCTCATCTCATGTTTATGACACATAATTTTACACCCATTGTGGTTGTTAAGTCTCTGTACATGGCTATCTTTATTCTACTTATCCTCTCTTCCTCTCCCCTTCTCTTCTTCCTTGTTTGATGACATAGTTAGAAGCAGATCGAGGTTCAGCAGGCCCCAAAGCTTATGTAATTTGGTGCTCCCTTTAAATAAAACTACAAAGAATATTAGTTTTTCATAATTTAAGGAAAACATATGACGTTGACTTAACAGGGGTCCTGCTCACCCTCCCAGGGCTCTGGAAAGGCCTTGTGTGATGAGGGGTCCTTACACCGGGACCTCATTAGAGTCACAGGAAACCAGTCTGTGGACATCCTTTCTATGGCAGGGGTCAGGATGCACCAGCTGGGCTGTGGGGTGGGGGAGGCTATCAGACTACACCCTGCAGACTTTGTCCACTCCAGCCCTGCTGTCTGTGGGGCCTCATGTCTGAAACCCGTGGCGGTAATTTCATAACTTCTCTTTGAAAGAAATCCTCTCCTTTCCAGGGCTCTTGCACACTGTATTCTCTGCATTCTGACTCCCACAACATCACCACAGCCCACTCTACCACACTTCCAGATATTTGCACATGCTGTTCCCGACCCCCACAGCACCCATCTTGCCGTTGCCTGGGCTTCCCTCCCTGGCCATTGACCACTGTTCTCTCAGAAGTCTGAAGGAAGAGGACTTCTCTAAGCTGTCCAGGAGCATGACACATTTCCCTGTAATTCTTCAAAACGTCAGTACCCAATGGTTCAGTCTAACCCTAGAGAGACCCGGTACATCCAGTCAGTAGTAGGGTAGGGGCGGGTGAGACTCAAGCTGTTAGAGATGTAATAGGACTAAAGCCTGCTCTCACGAAGGTAAACTATACTCATACTCAATATAACTCATCCCGTATATAATGGAAGGAAGGAAGGAAGAAAGGAAGGAAGGAACAAAGGAACGAAGGAAGGAAGGAAGGAACGAAGGAATGAAGGAAGGAAGACCATAGCCACACTTGAAAGCAAGAAGGGGATTGATCAGGGACACAGAAACTAATAGAAAATCCTGAGCAGTAGGGAGCAATTGAAACTAAATCAAAGACAAAAAGTGCCAGCCAGTGCAACCTCAGGTTTTCAGACCGTGCAGGAAATACTCCATGCTCATAGTACAAGCAGAGAAAGCATGGTACCAGACCAGTCCACACAGAAGGATAAGCCAAGGCCTTACAAAGACAGCAAAAAGACAGGATGTTTCTGCCCAAGTCCTATTACCTTTGCTTAATATTCAGGGGCAATGAGGTTTATGTTTTCAGGGAGTAGAACACATGGGTTACAGAGAGAGGGGCAGTCTCCCAGATCCCAGGTAGCACTAGGTAGGTGTAAGGAGAATGGGTAACCAGAGGCCAGATGCTGAGGTATCTTACATCATCTTTAAGCAAAAATGGGGTCAGACTAAACTTGCTTTTTAAAAATTTAATAAACAGCTTTCCTTCCTTTCTTTTTCTTCCTTCTTCTTCCTCTCTCCCTTTCTTCCTTCCTTTTTCATATTTTGTTTGTTCTTTCTTCTCCCCTCCCCCACATTCTTTTGTGCTAAGACAACAGGTATGGGCAACCATATCCCTGCTTCCCAAACCATTTTGATTTGTCTTACTTTGAATTAGGGCAGGTCTCGCTAGCTCTCCCTAGCCTGGTCTCTCACCCTTCAGAATAGCTTCAATTACAGACTTTCAAGATCAAGCCTGGCCCTCCCGCCTCCTTCCTTTCCTCCCTCTTTCCCTGTCTTCATTTTCTGTTCACTTTCCCTGCCTCCTGCCCCACCTAGATATGCAACCTCGTGAACTCTGAACTATGCCCCAGCCAGTTATATGCCTTCCATCCATTTGTAAATTTATGCATGCACTCGTTTTCTCGCTGGCTCCTGCACCAAAGACCTATTGCTTTACTGGAGATTGAATCTGGGGGCATGCTTCCCTGGGGCTGCATTTTCCAGTCCTCTTTCTTTTTTTCTCTCCTCTACCTTTCTTTCTTTTTTCTTTCTTTCTGCAGTGTAGGCTGGCCTTGGATTCACCATGGAGCCCAAGCTGGCCTC